TCCTCGCCGTCGCCCCGCGGGGACAAGCGTGGGGCCTGGCCCCGCGGGATCGACCCCCAAGGGAGTCTCCTGCGCCTCCCTGCTCCCTTCACACGCGTCTTCTTCCTTCCTGGGGTCCTCTCGGCCCCCCGTCCCAGCCCAAGCCCCCAGAGACGAAGGCAGCCCTGGCTCGAGGCTGTGGCTTCCCCCTGCCATCGACACAAGCCCATCCCGCCCCAGCCTCCGGCAAGCCTCAGGGGCTTCCTGGGGGAGGCGCCAGCCCACAGGGCGGAGAGGCCATGCTGGTCCGCAACTCCGACTCACCACCCAGGCTATGCCCTGGCGGAAGGCCGCCCTCCCCATCCCAGCGAGGCCCCAGCTGGCGAGTTTTAGTCCCTAAAGGGAGCACTTCCGGCTGAGGCTTTAAGGGCGGTTATTTTGTGGAGAGCAAGAGAATAGTTGTGGCTAGCTGCAGTAAACAGCGGCCCAGGTGGGCAGGGCTCGGTGGCAGCTTCCAGACTTGAGACGAGCCGCCCGCCAGCGCGGGGAGGGCTTGGGGGTCTGCAGCTGGAGGTGTGGGCCCTGCCTTCGGCCCCAGGCAGCCCAGTCTCTGCTCTCCCCCAAGAGAATTCAAAAGCAGGAACAGCTGAGGTCGGTGGTCTACCCTTGGGCGGTGGCCGGTGCTGGGACCAGCTGCACTGACACTGGACATTCAGGTTTTCCTCTGAGTTTGGGGCTTGTCCCAAAGACGTGCCATTGCTGTGATCTGGGAATCACCCTGGGATTTACAATGGTGACGGGCATATTGCCCGACGCAGATGTCTCTCTCCAGCTGAAATAAAACCCCCCAGAGGGCAGGCACTATAGCCTCACTTCTTTTTAAAATCGTGGTAAAAAACATGTAACATGAAAACTGCCATCTTGGCAAGACATGGTGGTTCACATCTGCAATTCCGGAACTTTAGGAGGCTAAGGCTGGAGGATCATATGCACCCAGGAGTTTGAGTCCAGCCTAGGTCACACAGTGAGACCTCGCCTCTACAAAAAAATACAAAATACAAAAATAGGCCGGGAATGGTGTCACACTCCTCTAGCCCCAGCTGAGGGGGAGGCTGAGGTGGGAGGATTGCTTGATCCCAGGAAGTTGAGGCTGCGGCAAACAGGGATCACACCACTGCACTCCAGCCTGGGTGACAGACCCCAATTAAAAAAAAAAAAAATTTACCATTGTGTCCATTTTTTTTTTTAATTTTGAGAGACAGAATCTCACTCTGTCACGCAAGCTGGAGTGCAGTGGTATGATCACAGCTCACTGCAGCCTCAAACTCCTGGGCTCAAGCAATCCTCCCACTTCAGCCTCCCAAGTAGCTGGGGCTACAGACATATGCCACCCTGCCTGGCTAAATTTTTGATTTTTTTGTAGAGTCAAGATTCTTACTGTATTGTCCCAGACTGGTCTTAAACTCCTGGGCTCAAGCAATCCTCCTGTCTCAGCCTCCCAGAGTGCTGGGATTACAGGCGTGAGCCCTATCTTGACCCTTTTAAAGCATATAGGAGTGTTAGGTACGTTCACATTATTGTGAATCAGATTCTAGAACTTTCTCATCTTGAAAATATGAAACTGCATACCACAAAACACCAATTCATAGCTCCACTCTTATATGTCCACAGCACCTAAAATACTACTTGGTTTGCAATAGATGCTCAATACTTGTTTGCCAAATAAATGAATGAGGAACCCAAAAGTGCCCCAAACCGCACCCACAAACACAGTGATTCTCAAGCCATTTTGTACCTCAACAGCCCTGAACTGTGCCATCCTCAGAAGCCAGGGCTCATAGCTGTTGTGGACTTTCAGCCTGGGGGATGGGACATGTCCTCCCAGGAGGCATAGCAGGCTTGGGGTTGTGTGGCCTGAAGCATCCCTGCCACAGTGAAGCTTGACCCTCGTTATTACACAGGCAAGAGGTAAGCTCTGCCCTCCCCCTTCGGGTGTCTCTGGGGTCTTCATGCAGGGATGGGGTGTGGAGACTCTCATGTGTCATCAGAGTCACTCTCTCTGAGTGTGTTGTTGGTCTGTTTCCTGGCACAAGCCAATGCCTGTTTCCTCTGGCAGCTCCCTGTCAGGCCAACCTACCTCTCACCCCTGCAGCTCCATGGGGCTGGCCTAGCTGCCATCACTTGGGGCCTGCCACAAGGGAAAGCCTTCCCTGTCACCCACTTCCTGTAGAGCATCCCACAGCTGAATTGACTGGGCTGGTGACATCGTTCCATCCTCACGCCTCTCTCCAAAACCCCAGGGCATGCGGGTGGGAAAGGGGTCTAGGCAGTGGTGGTGTCAGGTGCAGATGTCACCCTACAGTGACAGGGCATGGTGGTTTACACTTGTAATCCCAGCACTTTAGGAGCCCGAGGTGGAGGGATTGCTTGAGCCCAGGACTTTGAGATCAAACCTGGGCAACATATTGAGAACTCCTCTCTACAAAAAACAAAATCAGCCGGGCATGGTGACATCCACCTGCTGTCCCAGCTACTTAGGAGGCTGAAGTGGAAGGATCACTTGAGCCCAGGAGGTTGAGGCTGTGGTGAGCCATGACTGTGCCACTGTACTTCAGCGTGGGCACAGAGTGAGACCCCAACACACACACACAAAAGCAAAAAACAACAGAACCAAACCAAACCCCGCCCCACAGTGTACCTGGAAGTACCACCTTCTGCGATACTCAGCCTTCTTCAGAGGCTGGCTTGTCCTGCTGGATTTGCTCCTTGCTGCCAGGGATTTTTCTCTCGGGCCCTATTTCTGCAAGCTGGCTTCCCACGCTGTCAGATTCCTCTGCTATACTTGACTCTTCCAAACTGTGGCCCCAGTGCTTTTCCTTTGGCTGAATCAGACGACCCCCGGGCCACTGTCGCCAGCTTTCTCAGAACACTTGAGGAGGCCCTCTGCACCACAGAACAGGCGGGCTCCCTAAACCTGTGGTTTCCAAACCGTGTCCTGAGGTACCCCGGAGCCCCGCACACGCTCACAGGACCCTGAAAGACACTGGCAATGAGTGAGGGAAATGGCGACACTCGGCAACCTGGATGCTGCCTGAAGCAGTGCAGCGTTTCCACGTCGGATGTGTGGCGTTGCGTTCACATGGCCTTGAACAACCTGGCTTCGGATGGCTGCTGTGATCAAAAGAAATACACAAACATCGATGTGGAGCAGGGAGCGAGGGTGCTGGTGTCTACGGCCATCCCGGTAACTTTGAGACGTTTTGCTGCACCCAGGAGGCGACCTCATCCCATGCTGGTATATTTCACTCATGAGAGTGAAACAAAAAGATTCTTTTTTTCTTCCCAATCTGTGTGTATTTATTTTTCAAACAGCTACAAAGTTACCATTTGGACCTAAAGGAAACCCTCAGCTATTTCTTTTGGCGTTGGG